CATTCATTTAATGTGTAAATATCGTCTGTGTAGTTTCATGGAGCCGAAAATGCATTAAATGCACAGTTTGGTTGACTGCATGGGAATTGACTCACAAGATTGGAATTCTCAATGATAGATAGCTTTCATCTACATCCTCATAAGTAGAAGTCCGGGAAGCCGAATTTTATGATGTAAATGTAATCATAGATGAGTTAATGAACTGGGAGTGCGATATATATCTGACTGGAGAAATACACATTCCTTGAAATGAGAAAATAGGCAAAAATATCGGGAGATTATAAGAATGTTGTGTGCAGCTTCATTAATAACCTACTAGTTACACACATATCAATCTTTTTTCAACTTTCTGCTTATCGCAGCATCCATCAAAGACTATAATGAGTTTTAAAACTACCATTTGAGTTTGCTATCATTGAATAAGGTCTTAATACCATGCTAGGTAATCATAATTTCCCGTTGCTGATATTCTAATCCCTATTGTCTCTTATAACCGCCGCCGTATTTATCACCGATAATATTCCATAAAGACTGATTGGCTCCTTCACTAATGATTCGTGGTACGGAGGTGGGGGGGGGGGGGTCATATATAAATAAATAAATAAGCTGGTTTTACAGAAATGCATTTATTTTTGTTATCTGTAGAGGCTTTTTTTGGATTACATCAAAGGTATAAAGTGGGCAACAATGTTCAATATTTGAGTGTCATTTGTTGTCATTTATAAACTTATTATCAGTACCGCAGGGTATCATATTCACTATAGTTGGTGGTAATGTGTTTCTCTGTAAAATGTTTTGCCAAAAATTGTGTTATTATGAGCATATCATGTGAAAACGTATATAATATCTTCAGTTGAAATATTATTGCAATGTACATATATGTAATGAATACACTAGGTGGGTGTAACTTTCTAAAATGCAATCAGGAATGTAATCCCATCGCTGTCAGCATTGTGAACTGCATTAAATGATGCAGATTCACAACTTTCACAATAATACAAAGCGTTTCCACTGCCACACAGTTACCATGTATACTACATACTGTAACACTATTCAGTACAACAATGTATGGCCTATGATTGTCCTTAGGTTTCAATCTATTTCTCATGATTCTAAATTACATGTACAGTATTAGAGAGAATATTGATTTCGCCCTAGGGCAATGTAGATAATTCTCTAATTACTCCAATCCCTTCCCCCTCTAGTGAATTGAAATGTAACGAGTATAAAGTGATGTCCATGCACCAATAGTGAAATGTGACATACGTCTTTACTCTAGATGGATATGCAAGCACTTGCACTGCTGTTGGTAATCAAGTAAAATTAGAGACGCACAGTGCTCGAAAATGATTTCAAACTGGGATGGTGATTGACCCAATCAGGACATTGATGAGAGCATCTCATCAGTGTTCTGCCAGCGCACTCACAGACTGTCTGCTATGCTTGGCAGTTACATGTATATGCAATTTCATGTGATATCTTGTTTTTTACTTAATCTCTTTCATGGTATTTGCATTTAACATCATAAATAACCATTACTGCATGTTTATTTCTTTAAACCTCTTTTTTTTAAAGGTCGAGTCTAAAAATTCTTGATTGCAGTCGCCGTATAGACTCTTACTTAAGTTTCATAAAATTTATGGTCTTTGTTGATCCTTTACTCAGTTAATTCTCCAAAGTGCAGTATATTCTCTTTTATTTTTACTTTGGCTCGTTTCAATTTTATAGATTTTTACGATATCATGTAACATGCAGTACCATTCAATTTGTTACTATTACTGCTAGAAGTGCCTCTCCAATAGAAGCAATGCATACCCAAAATAACATTTGCTGATTTACGTAAGTCCATGCATGACTTAAGGAGCAAATACAGTGTTTATAAAATACTTAATGATTTTCAGTGTCTGTATCTTGCATACAGTGTATTACGTACCGTATACAATTTGGACAGAACAGAAATAATTCATAATTTGGGATATTTAAAGATCGTTTGAATTCTGATCAACCTTAGTTTATTCTAAAACTGCTTTAATTTCAGGAAAAAATATACATTTTTACAATTAATTAAAAAAGAAATGCTCAATATTGTAGCAGTTAGTGCATGTACATTTCACTGGCTGAGTATCATTTTTTAAACATCATGGAATCGCATGCTGTGACAGCTCCGTCAAATGCCCTTATAATGATAAAATCTGGAACATTGCATATTAAACAGCAGATTGTCCAGACTGCAGAAGTACTCATACTGTAGCAGTTTACAAAAATTATCCATTTCCCAGATGTGTTGCAAAAAAGTAATTTGCAAATGTGTGGTTCTGACACAGGTGTCTCGTATCTCAGCAACATCTAATGGTATTAAATAATCAATATTATGTGAACAAATGAAATACCTCTAAATCTTTCTATTATCTCTAATTTTATGACGTAAACAAAATCTGTTATCTTACTTGCATACTATAAGTAGATATTGAGAGATGAACGTCTGGGACTTGTTGTTAAACTATGACTAATTTAAATCGAGGGGAAATCAGATTGCTTGAATCAGTAAACTATTCAGAAAGTCAGATTAGGAAGATTCCGCTGCCTTTGGAGTACCATGGAGTTAAGATCGCTTAACTTCATACAGACAGGTGTCAAATTAAATACTCGACTGTGTAAAGAATCTCACTTGTTCATGTTTTTCGTGCATGTGCCCAGCGACTGGTTGGCGCGAACCAGTCCGGGGAACCAGTCGTTCGCACCTGAGGAAATAAAATATAGTGTCATTGGCTACTGTTGATGTTATCAAATATACATGTTCATATTAATAAAACAGCTTGTGGGCGCAGCAGATCTGGAGTTTATATAGTGCTGATCAGCCAGCAGCAGTATTATTGTTGTTGTTGTTATACCATATGGTATCACTGATGGTACAGTTGTGTAATAAAGATTATTTTGTTATCAGACATTCCCAGCCTGGTTGGCAAAAATGTAAACAAATCACCATGGAATGGTCTGTGCTCTTCAGTAGTATTTATATGTGAGATGCATCATAGTGGTTACCGTACTTTCTATAAGTTCATTTAGTGTGATGTTGCATTTTACTGGCCTGTATGGTTAAAGCGATGGAGTCGACACCTGCGCATGCGTCAGATGGCCATAGCGTGTTATTGTTTACAAATAAGCATCTACCCATGAGCCTTTGCATTTTTAGCATGTGGTGTTAGCATGCGCAGGTGATGATCCTACCGCTTTAAATTGTACCTTCAGGTCGCAGATATGCATCAACATTGTTTCAAAGTATTATGGGCTCCTCATAATCCCTTTACCAGTTAAAAAGTTCTAAAGAGTATTCCTAATTAATTGATATATAAGTACAATTTGTAATATTTATGGTTTTTTACATTTATCCAAACAGTTTAGATGGGATGGATACATAATGTATATATATATATATATATATATATATATATCAAGTATTTGTATTTTTTGGAGTGTACTACATGTGTACTACCGTACTATGCGTCTCCTTTTAGAGTGTGTATAGGCATTTTGTTATTCAATAAATAGCAAACAGTTCACATGCTTCTTTGTAATGTTACACAATAGTACTAGGTCATTCACACTCAATTGTCCATCATTATTTATACCCAAGGCTATTTTACTGCTGTTTTTATTACCACAGCCCTCCTGGGGGGTCTATTGTGGTAAGAGATAGGATGTTCACAACAACAGTCACATTCTCTTTAAACGTGGTATCCTGACACATGGCAACATGTAGTTATTGGAAGTATTATTTGATCACAAATCTTTGAAACCATAATGCAGTTATGTAATTATAAGCAAGGAAATAAATAGCTATTTTTTATGTTATTATTATCGCTGTTGCCAAATGATGTCTCTCTTAACAAAATTAACTATATTCTGAATAATGCTTGTGGGAAAGAGATGTCTTTGTCTATTGCAGCCCATATGATTCTAAAAGTTAAAAATATAACAAATAGAATTGATTTATGTCAAAAGTTTAAACAACTTTGAGTGAAATTTCTAATTTAATTTATCCCCTTTTCAGTAAAAAAGGAAATAACTGTATAATTTCTTTTTTTTTTTCACTGCATATTAAACTTGCTGAATATCCACGTTCAGCGATGACAAAATAAATAACAGGCAGCTGACCACAATTTATTATCACTACTCTGTGTGTGTGTAACTTATGAAAATTAAAACAAAATGGGCCACACAATCTTTGTTGTCATGCAAATTACTAAGGTCATCTGAGATCCAACGATGGCAAATTAGAATCAAAACGATACAAATAGTCTTTGACATTCTATTCCTGTCTTGTTTTCCTCCATAATAATATTTTTGTTCATATTTGTTTATATTTTACAAGTTTCAATCACTATTTTCGTCTTTAAAAACATTTTTTTTGAGACAGCTTGTGTCTCTTTAAAGAGTAACTGACTGACTGGTGGTTTGAATAAACCTTGTGATGTTTGATAACTTTGGTTAAAAAAAAAATATACAAGCTTTGTTTTCTAACAATATCCTATTGTAATTTTTTGTTTTCAGTACAGAGAAATACAAGATGACTTTTGTGGTTCAGGTATTCTTCATCCGATACAGATTCAGCGCTCACTAACGGCTCAGGATTTCTTATGGTATTCGGGTCATGGTAGTATCTTCACATCAGTGCTAGTGAATATTTATGATAGGCACACTATTGTGTTGATTGGTACAGATGCAGGCGTTCTCATGAAAGTAGGTATCTTTATAGTACTTAGTTTTGTTAGTTGTTAATTATTGACTCCCATGTGCGAAGCACAAAATGAGAGTCTTTGCAGTTAGTGTGTCTGTATGTGTGTGTGTGTGTGTGTGTGTGTGTGTGTGTATGTGTGTATGTGTGTCCGACTGTTCCACTGCTATCTCAAGAACCATACATCGGTTTTTGATGAAACTTGGTGCATAGATGCTCTGGGCCAATGCGCAGATTTGATTAGGTTTCGGTAAAATTCCATGCTCTTTAATTACCTAATTTGCATGATAATTAGCTAATTTTTAGCTGTTCTATGACTGTTCCACTGATATCTAAAGAACCACTCATTGGATTTTGATGAAACTTGGTACATAGATGCTCTGAACATATGCGCAGATTTGATTAGTTTTTGGTAAAATCTGTGCATATTAATTACCTAATTTGCAT